AGCTTTCAGGTTTTGGCTGAGTAATTTGTATGAGAGAACAACAGATAAAATGGAGATCAGTGCAAAGGAAAAACCTGAGAATCAGTTCAAAAGTTTTGCAGTCAATCAAATCATAGTGTCAACAGTTAGGCATCTGTCTTCAGAGGGGGAGGAAATGAAAACTGATCCAATTCACTATGAAAACTGAGACTAAGTTTATTTCTAACAAAAACTAATCTAAAATGATATAATTGATCTTATAGATATTCATCAAGTTTCTTTTACATTTAGTCTATTTAATTTGGGAAACTGATACAATTAACTATGTGAAACTAAGGCTGACAGGTAACGGCACAAAATATTGAACAAATTGTTCATGAATCATGTCTGTTTGAATAATAAAATGTATGTACAACAGATACAATAACCGGCTCTGACCATTGTAATCCAATGTTTCTCCCATTTTGCGACTCAATTAGATGTTTTCTGCTTCAGTTGAAGCAGCTAAATATCCAACTAAAATTTGAACAGACTCAGAACGAAACAATATAAAAGGAAGGAGAATTTTTTAAAAAAGACCATTTTGAAACTTTATTAGCAAAATCAACCTATTTTTTTATATAATTAGCAAAATCGACCTCCTTTTGGTCAGCTGGCCAAAAAGAGGTCGATTTTGCAAAAATAAAACTTTAAAATACACGGGACTATTAGCCCCGTGTATTTAGTGGTGCCTAATTACACCCTAATAAGGTCTAGTTAGTCTCGTATTTTAAAAGTTTAATTAGCATGTGATTAGCCACCACTAATTACACGAGACTACTAGTCCCGTGTATTTTAAAAACTATATTTTGCAAAATCGACAAAATATATCAATTTTGCTAATTAAATCCATAAAGGGTCGATTTCTAATAAAGTTTCAAAAACATTCTTTTTTCAAAAAATTCCTAAAAGGAATGCAATGCTCCAAATATATTGCTCGAACAAAAATAGTTGGAAAATAGAACACTGTATTTATGTAATTTAGCTTCCATAAGGTACGTATCTAATTTCTTCTTTTAGTTCAACACCAAACAATTGCAACACCTTTTCCTTGACAAAATCAATAAGTGTCAACATCTCCGACAAAGTCGAGCCATTGAAGTTGATGAAGAAGTTTGCATGAACATCAGAAACCTTGGCTCCTCCAAGCTCATAACCCTTTAATCCAGCCAACTCAATCAGCTCTCCTGCTGATATTTCAAGCCCCAGCGGATTCTTAAACACTGATCCAGCACTCTTTTCTCCTATCGGTTGAGTCTTCTTCCTCCTGCAAGTTTACTCTTATTGTAAAACTCAAACTAAATAAAATAAATAGACAATAAACTTTTGTCATTTGAAGTAATAAGCATTGGACAAAATCTTATGTTTGATGATGACTTACTTTTAAACTTGAAAAAAAAGTATATCGAATTTGACCAGAACTAAGACAATATGAATCCATGTGGGTATTTACCAACGTTGCATATTCCGTGTGAGATTAATTAAATGGACGATCATCATTATCCATGCATTAACAAAATCAACATCTCCTCCCTTCTGTATATGACGAATATTCAACAAAAAATTTGACAAAATTTTATGACAAAGGTTATCAAATCAATGCTTTAGGTTAATTTTGACTTGTAGTGAGCATTACAAAGAGGGGCTCCTCATAAAATCCAAGGTAATTAACTAGTATGAAAACTTCCTCAATATTTGGTATAAGGTCAGGGCCGTGACAATATATCATGGCATCATATCAAAAACGATTTTACCATTTCACTTCAATAATTGGTCAACATTGTTAAATATTATTGATTAATTTGGTATTAGTAGATTTAGTAGATATTATGAGATATTGTGAGATGTGATTAAATATGATTTTAATGCATAACTATTTTGTAATATCCTCCTGAGCTCTATTTAATAAAGGTCTGGGTTAGATGAATAATGAACTTTGCCTTTTTTTATTTCTCTATAAACATTTTTTCACACATGAACACAACACTTTTGCTCTGTGCCCATGTAATATCAATAACAGATTCATATACCAACTACTGCAAAAAGAAAGCGGGTAAAAACTTTGTCCACCACCATGAAATATGAACCTCATAGAACTGATTAGCCAGCGAAAAGATTCAACACATAATGTTACTTGTTTAAGAATTTTCTTTGTTGCTCCCTGGCTGTTGTTTCTGGGCTTAACTTGAACGTGACAGACGCAATTGCCGCTAAATCCACCATTTGTTGCAAAGATGACCATCGGTATCCAAATGTTAACTGGCTCCTCCTCAATTTCTGAAACTCTCCATCCGATGTTACAATATCCACTCTATCAATCACATTGCTAGTCTCCTGCAAATTGCCATTTCCATGGTGTAATTGTCGATGGGAAGAATGAAGACAAATATGAGGAAGCAAAATGTTAGAAATAGTTTAATTTGAGCACCACTTCTTTTACTAGATCTTTTACATTTTACATAATGTAGGATAGTAATAGATTATATAAAACTGGGAAGTACAACAAAGCAAGTTGGAAAAACAAGTTAATTGCAATTACGAAGCACGATGCTAACATCAATTCAGAAGTCTACTAGTATCTGGAATCATTATGGACAGGTCGCAGCGAACATTTACAAGCAAATACTTGGCTGGCAATTGTTTTTCTCTCCTTATACCATTTCACATAAATGAGGTGACGTTAATAGCGTGGCTTTGATTTGGCTATACTCAGTAGGATATAGCTACCACCTCTAATGACATACCATTGTAACAGTTACCTGTTGCATATACCATTGAACAGGAGATATTGGTGAATTCATGTGTGGATTTAGTGCCACACTTGCAAATAGTAGATAGAGTACTCCAACAAAAAGCTGGGACTATTATCTAACAACTTAATAGTTAGGTTAATTTGGTTATCTCAGAAGACCTTTCCGCTAAACCAAAACTTCAAAGCTATGGTGAGAGTTGTGGGTTATAATATACTCTCTAACATGACTTCACAACTTAAGGGCTCTTTCATGGGCCAGACCATGGAGTCGTGGAGTGGTCAGGGTTGAGGCTTATAATTTTATACATACTCTAACAAGTATATTACTCTGCGTAACATCCATCTCTTTGTGGCACCTTTTTCTGTGGCCAATTAATACTCGATTTTCTTATATACGTGGTGTTCAAGTAAATACTCGATTTTCTTATATATGTGGTGTTCAAGTAAACCATCTTGACAACTCTTAATTACACTATGCACTAGCTGGAACCAGTATATTTCCTTCTTTTTACCTTTCATGCATAGTGTACAGTTTGAATATGTACGGCGTATTATACCTGTGATTATCAGATCAGTATACAGAGATTCTTTAATATTTACAGATGGATTTATTTCTTGCCTCCAAGGACAAGGATCTGGTTTTTCTCAATGTTTTAGGTCTAAAGTTGAATCACTTCGAGGTCTTAGAATTATGAAGTTAATAAATGAGGCATTTTTGTCTGATGTTCGCATGATAAAATATAGGTTATTTTTCATAGAACCACTCCAAACTTATGCTCTATTTCACGTTACTACCCTTATAATTACCTAATTTCAGAAAAAATCCCGTATCTACTATTATTTTAACACAGGATCACTCATTGCCTTTTTCCACCCAATTTTCCGTCAAAAAAAAAAATATTATAGTTTGTCAATTTTATCCCCACATAAGTTTAATTTTGTTGAACTTTGGGATCAAAGTAAAACACCTCAAATTATTGCACATTTTAATTTTCATACCCCAAAGTTCTTTTTTTGTGTGCCTAAAATACCATAAAGTCACTTCATTTTTCACTTAGATACCCCAAAGTTCTATCTTGCCTAAAAAATACCCTAAAGTTCAACAAAGTTAACTTTAATACGCAAAGTTCAACCAAATTAAATTTTGTTATCCCAAATTTCAACAAAATTTAATTTTGATATCTGAAATTCAACAGAATTTAACTTTGATACCCGAAATTCAACACAATTAAACTTATATAGACGTAAAACTGTCAAACCATAAATTTTTTTGGACGGAAAGTCGTATCAAAAAAGAGTATGGGTGGTTCTATATATGTTGACAGAATGATAGATAGGAGTGATTTTTTGAAATTTGGGTCATTAAGGATGATAACGTGAAATAGAGCCTAATTTAGGGGTGGTTCCCTGAAAAAAAAACTAAAATCTAACATATCAAATATTCAAAAATACCTAAGCAATAACTTCAAATTATACAAAGATTTTATATGCATAACTATCAGAGCAAATGAGAAAAGACCCAGTTATCTTTCAAAATTCAAATTCCAAAAGTCACCTGTCCATGTGCACCAGCGTTCATGAAAGCGGCCCCTCCAACTGTCCCCGGAATACCCCCTGCAAACTCAAGCCCAGAATATCCGGCATTCGAACATTGCATGCCAAGTTTGCTAAATGGGTGTCCACTACCGACCTGG